TTGGCAGTTTTCGATTTTGAAATAAAGTACCGCCCTGGACCAGCTAATCGGAATGCTGATGCACTGTCACGCCAAGTACAACCACAGAACATATCTCCTTCCACACCTGGGTTCGCGGTGCCCCAGGAGGCCCATATAAGACACCAGACCAGCTCCACTGCTGATGCCTCTTGCAGTATAATCACAGCGCTGCCGTTCCGCCCAAAAGCAGATCTGAATACCTTGCAAGCAGCTGATCCAGTCATTGGTGGTTTTCTTCAATACTGGAAAAGGAAGAGACCCCCCTCCAAACAGGAATTAAGCACGTCATGTAAAGGCCTTCGGAAAATGGTACAGCAGTGGTCAAGAATAACAATGCGCAATGGTGTTTTATACCGCCAAATTCAACCTCCGGGTGGGCAACAGATATGGCAGCTTCTCTTGCCACAATGCCTTAAAGCTGAAGTTCTAAAGAGCCTTCACGATAATCATGGCCACCAAGGTGTCTCGCGCACTATAAATCTGATCCGAAGCAGATGCTATTGGCCTTTTATGGGGCATGAGATCGAAAAATACTGCCAAGAATGCCACCGCTGCACACTTGCGAAAGCTACCTATCCGAGGGTTCGCACCTTCAGAGGAAGTCTTGTGGCCTCAAAGCCTTTAGAAATTGTGGCCATTGATTTTGCCTTGCTTGAGAAATCAACAGACGGCAGAGAAAATGTGCTAGTGGTAACTGATGTGTTCTCCAAATTTGCCCAGGCATATGGCACTCGTGATCAACGCGCATGTACCGTTGCAAAGATCCTCACGGAAAAATGGTTTTACACCTATGGTGTCCCTAAACGGATTCATAGCGATCAAGGAAGAAATTTTGAAGGAGATCTCTTGAGACGGCTATGTAACTTGTATGGAATCGAAAAAAGTAGGACGACGCCATATCATCCGGAGGGCAACGGGCAGTGTGAAAGATTCAACAGGACACTCTATGACTTGTTGCGCACTCTTCCACCCGAGAGTAAAAGAAAATGGCCACAACATCTGCCCGAAGTACTTTTTGCATATAATACCACGGAGCATCAGTCCACCGGCTTCTCACCATATGAGTTGATGTTTGGCCAAAAGCCCCACCTTCCTGTTGACGCCTTGCTTGGCACATCACATGAGGATGTTACCTCTACTTCAGCTCAGGATTGGGTGGAAGAGCATAAAAACTATCTAAATATAGTGTATGCCCAAGCCAAAGAGAAATTGCTGCAGGCAACCGAACGGAGGAATAGACATTACAAGCCCAATGTGATCTCTGTCCTTCCACCAGGTACTTTGGTGTACAAAAGGAGCCACCCGTTAGGGCGTCACAAACTGCATGATGCTTGGGATCCAACTGTGTTTGTTGTCATCAAAAGTATGGATCCAGAAGGCAGTGTATCAAATCCATCCAAAAGATTCCGCGGGTAATCACAGAAATGTGAATAGAGCTGAACTCAAAGTCCTGCCTATTCCACCTGTTCAACAGATGGAACAAGAATCTCACTTAGACCCGGGGTTGGTGGACACCCACTCACAAAGAAGTCATTCACACTCTTCAGAAGAAAGTGAATCAGAAGCTCTTATCATAATATTAGACCAAGAGCCGCAAAGAGTCAGGGCCCTCTCTCCTCCGCGTCCATGCCAAGCAGAGAGTACTGAAGTAACCCCACCACCTATAACAACTCAAAACCAGCAACAGGGTCCTCAAAATACAGCCCGTGCGGTGTCCCTGTTAGACACTACAGTACAAAGACGCTCGCAGAGAACAACCGCAGGTCAGCATACAAATCTCCATCGCCTTCCGCGGTCTATGACTTAATCCCCCGTATCAACAGTAGTTAGTTACGACCAGAAACTGCTTAGTCACCGGGACGGCGACCTTTCAAAACCGGGGCCGGTGTAGTAGGATGAATACGTTTATTTTGGTGGGTGGGGGGCGACTTCCGCTAGTCCCAGCACTAAGCCGCAATGCGTGATGACGCACCTCCCTTTTTGCCTCTGTCACTTGGAGCACGTCTTGTGAAGGCAGCGCGCGGACCTCAAACAATCTATCGTAAGCATGATATTTGCATTTGACTGTTGATCGCCGACTAGGCAGGCGTTTTATGTGGATTTCTAACCATAGCTTCATTAACGCGTACCTCTGCACTTAGGAGCCGTTTAACAAAGCCTAAACAACAAATCTCATACCTCCAACCATCTACACCTGTCTGCGTAATCAGCGTCACTCTTAACAATGTGAGTCCCAGCTCTAGTAATTTACAATTGTTTATTTACAAACTACTAAACATGAATGTTGTTTATTTAGTGGTGGTCGTGGACAAACAAAAACAAAAGACACCACAATTGTCAAAGGTCTACATTCGAGAAAGGTATTCACACATCAAACGATCTTTATTTAGGCCTGTTGTGTTTACCTATGGAATACTTAACATGCTATGTAATTCCAGGAATCAAGCGCCGCTTGCCTGTCATTGTTTTATCCCATGTTTTATATGAACTGATTAGGTTGGGCCCTAGAAGTTTTTAACGTTACAAAATACTTTAGACGGGTCGTGCAATTATTTACTTATACTATTGAGAACAGTGGTACTGTTTTAAGGCCGTCTTATTGGTGTTGTTGTGTTTGCTGTGCACTGTTTGATTTAGAGACTGAATTCTTTTGTTACCTGGTTCTTTTAACAGTACTGTCTTTTTAATTGTTATTGTACGTAACATAATTGCACTTTGCCCAACATTTTTAAAACGCTTCAAGCAAAATGAAATAAACCTACTTAAACTTAGCTTCGGCCTCTGTCAGTTTATTCTGGCGCCTGTGGTGTGCAAATTACTACAAAAAGCAGATTGTTACATATATCAGAGTTGTATCAGCGTTAGGACGCGTAAAGAGAAGCCTTGAGCAACACATTTAAATGTTGACTAAATTTATAATTCTTCTGAACATACAGGGGGAGGACATTGAGCTGGTGGACAGCTTCAAGTACCTGGGTGTTCCCATTAACATTAAACTGGACTGGTCCCATAACACCAACGCCCTGTACAAGAAGGGCCAAAGTTGTCTCCACCTTCTGAGGAGCCTTAAATCCTTGGTCCATTAGCTCCACAGACTGTGGTTAAGAATCTTGGTGTTCTAATGGACAGCTCCCTTAAGCTGGACAAACTTCTGTCGTAAAAACCAGCTATTTTCAACTGCGGGTCTTTAGCAAAGTGAAAGCTTATCTTCCCTTTGATAAGTTTGATCGTGTTCATGTCGTCCCGTCCCGACTATTGCAATTCTTTGTACTGTGGTCTAGACCAGTCATCTCTTAACCATTTGCAGCTCGTGCAGGCATAGAGAACACAACACACCTCTTCTGTCGTCTTTATGTCTGGCTCCAGCCTACCTGTTCGAGTTGCTGTCCTGAAGTTGCTAAACATACCGAAATCACAGCTAAAAACAAGAGGTGACCGGGCCTCCTAAACTCTGGAACAGCCTCCTTCAAATCTTTATGTAAGACTCACCTTATTACTCTGGCCTTTGGCAACTAAGCGGCGTTGCACTGTTGTAATATCTGTTGAACTGTTTTTACTATAGCTTTTTTATATTTGATGTATTATACTGTGCAGCACTTTGGGCAGTGTTTGTTTTAAATGTGCAACAAAACAAAAATAATACACTTGACATTGAAATGAATGAATAGTCAAAGGCAGTATAATAAGCTATACTGTACATTTCTACATATAAGCCTAATATGTAATTAGTATTACATATTCATGAAAATGATGGATTAATATAAATGGTCATAATAGTATTGTAGTTTTCATTTTCATTGGGAGAAATTCATTGTTCTAGCGCCAGTTTTCACGCACAAAATTCCTACTGAAATAATTATGTGTATATGTATGTACAGTGGTATATATATTTTCCTTTGTTGGGTAAATAGTAAACTATGTTACATTGCAATATTTAGATCTAGAAATGCATTACATTTTTCAGTACTTATTATTCATTTCAATTCATTGTATTACTCGTGATATCTTAGAGGTATTTGAACAAACAGTCAAATCATTAGACATAAAATCCGTTTTTGGTAGTTTTTCCAGTTTAGTGCCCACTTTTGAATGTCATCGTTTTTCATAATAACGTTGGGTATTTAAATATTTCTTCAATAATAGTAATATTCCAGGAATACATTATTTTGGGTGTGATCTCTATGGCAGAGTAAGTTGGTTTTGATGAAATAGATAGTTCTGTAATTAGAAACCTCCAAACATGGTACATCACGCTGAAATGTCCAAATTTCGATCAAAACCACAACTTTGACAATTAAAAAAAAAAATTAACGACAGGGATTGTTTTTGGAACTCTTTCAAGGCTAACTCTTTACTATATAGCATTAACATAAAGAAAAAGTAAATTATTTCCCACAATCCTGGAACGAAAGTAAAATCTTAGACCTCTTTCATGAACTAGCACATGGCTGTTTAAACATGCTTTTCAACATAAGAAAACATCAAAAGACAAAAGCTTTTATTGTCCCATAATCACACAAGGCATCAAGTCTACACAAATGTATTTACAGTTTATATTATAATTCAACCGAAATTCAAACAATGTTGTAATGTAAAGGTTCATTGCTAGAGCCGTTTGTGGTCACCCAGGAAATATTGTCATCTCAGCTAAAAACAAATTAAAGTAACATGAAGCATGGACAATTGAGTTCTCATAGCAATAGCGTTTTCTAAGCCTTCCGACACCACACACTGGAGTGTGTCACCAAGTTTTAACATTGTTCCTCATCAAATACACATCTGGATTTGTATTTAGCTTCATCCACAATAATATCAGGAATGTGTCCTGTTTGAGGCCAAGCTGAACATGAAGAATGTGTTACAACATACTTGTACTGAGGTCCAGTCTGTATGGAAAGATGTGATGCCAGGATATTGACTTTCAAACATACAGTAAATGTTCATTTGTCCTAACAGAGCTGTGACCCCTCCTGTGGCTCTTAGGGCTGCATGCGAATGGCTCCGTCCAGCCGGATTACCTCCCCATTAATCATGGGGTTCTCAGCGATGGAGGTCACAAGGTGAGCAAACTCTGAAGGGTCTCCAAGGCGAGACGGAAAGGGCACCTGTCGAGCCAGGAAGGAGCGCACCTTTTCTGGAAGGCTGGCCAGGAGCGGCGTGGAGAATAGGCCTGAGGGCAGGGGCGGGGCAGAGGGGACAGAAGCGACAAGACCGGTCAGTACCATGTGGTGAGAGTTTGGAGGGCTCTAAAAGTATAACTGAAACATGTGCACGTTCACATTCAAGACAAAGTGGTTGAGCCCGGGGACTGACCGGTCTAATATTTCTACAACAGTTGTTAAAGCTGCACTAACTGACTTAGTGTATTCATTACGAAAATGCTATCCATGTCCATGTAGTGCATTGGGATAAACGTCCTTTTGAAGAAAAAGTAGCAGATTTGTGCTGGCGTGACATTATATTCTAGATCGAGTTTTGATGAAACAAGGAAGAGAATGTGTTTCGGGTCGCAGATTGTGACCAATCACAGCGGACCACTGGCCTCCACTTTCGTGAGAAATCTGCAGGTCCGTTAGCATAGACGGCTTAGTTAGCACAACAAGCCGAGGAGCTAACCTGAAACTTCCTCGTCTGCGTCACCGGTTACTGCTTACACAGCGAAACAGCCATCCAAAAGAAAATCCCGTTCCTCCGCGCTTCCCGGTTCTATTGTTCTATGGTCACGCCATCCACGTGCAAATCCATATCCATGTATTATCCATATTGGGAGACGCTAGCTCAGTCAACAACAGTGGGTGTGTGTGGGGGGAGGGGAGCAGAAAGAGCGAGGCCAGCGAGTCCGCTGCTTCAATATCCCAAAGTCAGTTAGTGCAGCTTTAAGACCAAGATAAAGCTGTTAACTATACAGTGACTCTAAATTCTAGTAAGTCTAAGTAATCTGGAATCTCTGAGAACACACAATGCATAAAACTGGAGAGTAATAGTGGAGAACAAACTTGACATGTTAAAATTATATCACAATGGTTGTAGGGAGAATACTTGAAAGACTTCTTGAATAAAGCATGCCTAAAATATAAAATGCCCTGTACCTGGAGCGATGGTGACCACTCTGATACCCACGGGAGCCAGGTCTCGGGCGATTGGCAGAGTCATTCCCACAATACCCCCTTTGGAGGCTGAGTATGCAGCCTGACCCACCTGTACAGACACAGGGGGGGGGGAGAGAGGGAGTAAAGCCTAGTGTACAGTATAGTCGCGCGGAGCTTACGGTGGTGACGTGACGTCACTTGCGCAATGCCGGGATTACAGCAAGACCCTTGCGCAGCCTGCCGCGCACCCTCAACAATTTCTAACTACGCCACCGCAGAGAAGCTCCGCTGGGATTGGTCCGTTCCCTATTTGGTCCGGGATTGGTCCGTTCCTTATTTAAATACAGTTACGTGACGTGTTACTCTACAAAGTATGGTAACACAGAAATGTAACATGTCGATTTTCTCAGCGGATAAAAAGGGGTACTATATTGTGTGGCGATATACGAGGAGCGCTATGTCCGCGCACTAACACCCAAAGACTTCACTCCCGCTCACTTCCGTCAATAGAAGCAGCGTGACTTGTTGGAGTTAGTGCGCGGACATAGCGCTCCTCGTATTATTACGCCACACAATATAGTACCCCTTTTTATCCGCTGAGAAAATCGACATGTTACATTTCTGTGTTACTATACTTTGTAGAGTAACACGTCACGTAACTGTATTTAAATAGGGAACACGTGGAAGAGTTTGGTAGCTTCTAACGGAAGCTGATTTGGTACTATACAGTCTGTGGAAGAAGCTGCGTTTGTGCTCCGTTTGCAAGACAGAGCGCACTGACAAAGACCAGACAGGTTCATATCAACTAGTCCAAGGTAAGGTAAGAACATATGTCAGTATGTAAAAACGGTGGCCTATTCCTTTAATGCAAAGTCTGATATCGTTTACACTTACATATAAATATAGCTGAGAAAATAAGCTTTAATATGATATATAGCTTGTGGCTTATGAAGTTCAAAATACATCTGCTATTGCCAGCGGATGTTTTATTTTTCTCGTTTTATTATTAAAAATTACAAAATTACAAATAATCCATCCCACCTCACAGGTGTGCCACATCAAGATGCTGATCTGACATTAGTGGTGTACAGGTGTGCCTTAGACTGTCCACAATAAAAAGGCCATTATTTTGTTTTATCTGGGGTCTGGGGACTCAGAACGAGTCAGTATCTGGTGTGACCACCATTTGCCTCATGCAGTGCAAACACATATTCTTTGCATAGAGTTTATCAGATTGTCAATTGTAGCCTGTGGAATGTTGGTCCACTCCTCTATAATGAAGTTTCTGGATATTAGAACTGGTGCAGTCTTTCCCACACACAGGGGCAGGGAGCGGGGGATCGGTCCCGGGAAGCCCAGAGGTGGCTTGAGGCGCGATGGTCCACGGTGCTCCTTTTTGGTGGGAGTTGGAGCGCAGTTGCGCCGCTGCGGGACAGGCAAGTCGAGTTCAGCTCGATAGGGAAAAGGATCGGGCATTAGTCCGGGCAGCGAGCTCCAACCTGGGTTGAAGTTGTGGGCCCTGGATCGCGCAGGGGAGTGTGCCGCGCTCCAAGACGCGGCCCACTGGCCCAGAGAAAGTTTCAAAGAGAGTTCCCAAAAGGTTCACAAGCAAAAGTCCCCACGAAAGTTATTGTGTCTCTGTTTTTGTTCCGGCTCTGGGGGCGTGTCTTATGACGTCTACTTTCCGCGCCTCCAGAACTCCTTATCAGGCTACAATTGACAATCTGATAAACTCTATGCAAAGAATATGTGTCTTTAAAATCTGCATTAAATGCAGCAGCTCCTTTAAAACAGAAAACCATTAGGATTAGATCATCGTCGCCCTGGTACAGTGTTCAACTCCACACTTTAAAACAGGACGTCAGAAAATTGGAGAGGCTATATCGCCACTCCCACTCGGAGCCTGTCCACAGGGAGTGGAAAGCAGGTCTCCGAAACTACAAGAAGGCCCTTCGCGGGGCTTGAACTCAATACTATTCAACTTTAATAGAAGCGAATAAAAACAACAGTAGATTTTTGTTTGGTACCGTCGCTAAACTCACAAACTGCCATAGCGCAATCGAGCCTAAAATTCCAAGCTCACTGAGCAGTGTCGACTTTCTCCACTTCTTTAATAATAAAATTACATCCATCCGTGACAAGCTGGAGGAGGTTGCTCCTGCTGTTAGTGGTGGACAGGTTGAAGCGGCATACGTGACTTCCCACTTAGACTCTTCAGTGGGCCTTAATAAATTCATGGCTGTGAGCCAAGCAGAGGTGATCTCTGTGGTCACATCCTCAAAAGCCTCAACTTGCATGTTAGACGCAGTCCCGACATGGCTCTTCAAAGACATACTTCCTTTGATAATTGAGCCTATCGTAAATATAATAAACGCCTCCATACAATGTGGCTATGTCCCACAAGCTTTTAAAACCGCGGTAATCAAACCCCTTCTGAAGAAAACAAACCTGGACCCAGAAATACTTACAAACTACAGACCGATCTCAAACCTCACTTTTATATCTAAAATCCTGGAAAAACTTATAGCTGAGCAGCTCCGCTGCCACCTGCAGGAAAATGATATGTTTGAAGTCTTTCAATCAGGATTCAGAGCTCATCATAGCACTGAAACGGCACTAGTCAAAGTCACAAATGACTTACTACTAGCTGCCGATAATGGACAAGTGTCAGTGCTGGTCCTACTGGACCTTAGTGCTGCATTTGACACAATAGACCACAGCATTCTACTGCAGAGGCTAGAATGTGATATAGGTCTTAGAGGAACAGCCCTTGGCTGGTTTAAATCCTATTTATCAGATCGATATCACTTCGTCAATGTGAATCAGGACTCGTCGCCTTATTCTGGAGTGGAATTCGGTGTGCCGCAGGGTTCGGTACTCGGACCGATTCTTTTTACTCTCTACATGCTGCCACTGGGAAACATTATTAAAAAGCATGGAATTAATTTCCACTGCTATGCAGATGACACACAGCTTTATCTGTCGATGAAGCCTAATCAGACAGATCAGCTAGAAAAGCTCAGTGGACCTTAAAATGTGGATGACTCTTAACTTCCTACTTCTCAACCCGGAGAAGACAGAAGTGATCCTACTCGGTCCGAAGCGCCTGCGTGACTCCCTCACTAACCAGATGGTTACTCTCGATAATGTCAGTATAATACCCAGTAACACTGTGAGGAATCTTGGAGTCATTTTTGACCAAGAACTCTCCTTCAAGGCTTATATAAGCCAAGCAACTAAAACGGCGTACTTCCACTTACGGAACATCGCTAAAATTAGGAATTTCCTTCCTAAAAGTGACGCGGAAAAACTCATTCACGCGTTTGTCACCTCAAGGCTCGACTACTGTAACGCTTTACTGGCAGCGTGCCCTAAAGCCTCTTTGAAGAGCTTCCAGCTCGTTCAGAATACAGCAGCTAGGATCTTAACAGGTACCAAAAGGAGGGAGCACATAACTCCGGTGTTAAAATCACTCCACTGGCTCCCTGTGGAGTACAGAATAAAGTTTAAAATCCTACTCTTAACATATAAAGCCATAAATGGCTTGGCTCCTTCTTATCTCCAAGACACGTTAGTGTCGTATCAACCAGGTCGAGCGTTGCGCTCACAAAACGCCAGACGTCTGGTGGTCCCTAAGGTCTCAAAGGTCACTGTTGGTGGCAGAGCATTTAGCTACCAAGCTCCTTTACTGTGGAATCAGCTTCCCATTTATGTTAAGGAAGCATATACGGTCTCCACATTCAAGACCAGGCTTAAAGCACTTTACTTTAATTTAGCATATAATTAGGTAATATATAATATGTAGTGTATATATTATATATATATGCTGTATTATGTTATATATTATTCAATAATGTATTGTGTTATGTTGTATATTATGTTATATATTATGCTGTATGTTATTCTTTATTCAAGGCTAGGTTTAAAACAGTCCTCTTTAGTTTAGCATATGGCTAGGAAGGTAAGACTCGGAGAAGGTTAAACTCCTCAGAGTGTTAGTCAAGCTGCATAGGGAGTCAGTTTGCTGGGAGAAGTATGGTAACTTGAGCACTATCCTCTCCTCCTTCCTACTTTATCTGTTTAGCATTTTTAGGATTCTGACTGTAGTTTGTTCATTGCTATTCACCCGTTGTCCCATTGTCTGTTTCATGGTACGATGACGGGATCTCTGAGCCTGGCCTCTTCCATCTACACCTGCGGACTGCCCCGCCCGACCCGCCTGGGAGTGCTTCAGTCCTGCACCGGACCTGTCCACGTTCAGCGTCCACTGGTCCACGTTCTGTAGCTAGCTTAGGTCCTAGATCATTAGCCTGTCCGTCCGGAGGAGCGGATCCCTTTCTCATATGGGTCTCCCTCCCTGTGGGTTTCCCTAGTTCTCCTCCAAGGTTTCTCACTTTTTCCCACTGGGTTTTTTAAGAGTTTTTCCTTGTCGATGCAGGAGGGTCTTGTTGGACAGTTAGTGTCCAACAGAAAGGATTGGTGATGATCAGGACACTTTAGCATTCTACAACATGTATGGACATTTTCTTCTGTGTGTGCTTTATATTCTTCATGTGTTTTAACTGTTGATTCTCTGACCTGTGTTGGTGATTTCAATGGTTTTGTTAAGTCCTCTGAGATGACTTCTGTTGTGACCTAGGGCTATACAAGAATAAATTGTATTGTATTGTAATTGTATTGTATCATAGTTTTAACCACATACACGTTACTTAGACATAGACACACAACACACCTTGTTTACAGACAATGGTACACACGTTTTCTGATTTAAGATGTTAGCAAAACAACATATTCATCCGTGGTTTCAGTTGTCCGTCTCAGGTGTATTGGCGTCCCGTGTCCACTGGGGGGGTGGTGGAACGCCGTTGCCGGCCCATGGGTGTTGTCTATGGCTTTGTTTGCAGTGCATTTTATTACCTTACACATATCACAGCCACACTTATATCATTCACCTGCTAAAACCACACATCACACACACCCGAACCCATACCAAACACAACTAACTCAAACACCACATATATTGCACCAAGCCCCATTCAAACTGTTTTGTTTGTCTCCGCAGACCGGACTCTGGACAACCCAAGCCCTCAATAAATGTCTTTCTAAACCCAACAGTTGTGTGCAATTTATTATATGTGCAAATTAGCATGTTACAATATGTGTACAGTGCAATTTAAAGTGTGATGTGACATTTAAAAGGTAAATTCATAAAGTGCAGTGCGATATTACATGTAAAGAACAGCTGTTCTTTACAGTATGGCAGTGGTGTGAGGGGAGAGAGAGAGGAGCGGTCAATGGAGATGGAAAATGTTTTGATTTTATTGAGGGTGACTTTGGTACCAATGAGGAGGAGTTCAGTTTTATTGCTGTTAAGTTTGAGGAAGTTTGCTGTGAACCAGGACTTTATTTCTGTGAGGCAGTTAGTGAGAGTGTGGAATCTGGTTTGCTGGAGATGTAGAACTGGGTGTCATTTGCGTAGCAGTGGAAGTTAATGCGGTGTTTTCGGAAAATGTGACCAAGAGGTAGAAGGTAGATTAGGAAAAGCAGTCGGCCGAGGACAGACCCCTGTGGAACACCAGAAGTGATGGGGAAGGAACGAGAGGAAAAGGATTTAAGTTGGATGAACACTGAGATCAAGCAGGAGGAGGATGGAGAGTGAACGGAAGCCAGATTGCAGTTCTTCATAGAAGTTATTGTGGTAAAGGTAAGAGTGGGCTTGAGAAACAGTTTTTTCAAGCAGTTTGGAAATGAAGGGAGGGTTAGAGATAGGGTGGAAGTTATTGAGGTCAGAGGGATCAGAACCAGGTTTCTTTGAGTATGGGAGTGACGGCAGCAGTTTTGAGTGAGGAGGGCACAGTACCAGTAGATAGAGGTTTATATTATGTTTGTGATGAGAGGGGAAAGTGCAGGAGAGGAGGCTTTAACAAGGACGGTGGGGAGAGGGTCAAGTTGACAGGAGGAGGATTTGTATTTTTGGATGTAGGTGGAGATTTGGTTGACAGATGGGGAGGTAAAGGAAGAGAAGAGGTGGGTTGGAGCTGCGAAGAATGGAGCAGGAGCATTGGGAGAAGATGAAGTGAGTTGCTGCTGGATGAGGCCAGGGTATTGCAAAAATCAGATGAATAGAGATGAGAGGGAAGGGACTCAGGAGGTTTTGTGATGGACGAAATTGGTGAGAAAAGTGCTTTGGCGTTACCTTCATTTGAGCTGATTAAACCGCAGTAGTATGTGGATTTGGCAGTGGAGATGGAGTCTTTGTAATGTAGGGTGTGTGTTATGTACATTTCATGGTGAAAAGTGAGTCCAGTTTTTCTGTAGAGTATTTCAAGTTGGCGGCCTTTGTTTTGAGTTTTGAGTATGTATTTCATTACTTTAATAAATCACACAAAGACACTAGTTTGCCTCGGATCATTCTAAATTCAACCATAACACATACCGACCAAACCAAGCACTACACGCGCAAAACAGCAGACGTC